AGCATTTTTAGACAATAATTGTACTGTAGATATGTTCTATGAACAAGGCTAGTCCCCCATAAATAGATAAGAGCAGCAGTGTTATACCATACCCTGTTCTGTTGTGCTCGTGGTGGTGGTGGTCTGGGGCAGTGCTATTTGAGAATGGTCCAGTCTAAAAATAATCTACTAAGATTTTTTAAATGACCCATTACATGCTGTTTGAGATAAGAGCAAAATGTGTATTTTCTGATCACTTTCCTAAAACAAAAACAAAAACAAAAACAAAAAACTCTAAGTTCAAGAAACATGATGACATTTAGTCAGATGCTTAGATTCAAAGTTGATTAAATGATTCTAGAACTTTGTCTTAGAGAAGAGAGGTTACGTAAGCAAGAAGAAATAATTATTGATGTCTTTCCTCTTGCCCAAAAGAAACAGGTACCCCTGGACTCTTACTAGAAAGAAAAGTCTATGGATGGTCATATCTCATTTTCCCTGCCTAGTGATTGATAACATCTACCAGAGAGAATATTTTCATCCTCAGTTATCACTGCATAAATTTGTATTACATGGTTTCCTGCTGATATCTTTAGTCAGGAAGAAATTGTGACCAGCAAACTAAAGAAACAGACAGAACCAATTCCATTTGGATGATAATCCCTGTTCTTACAAACACTCTCTGTGGTCGTATGCTTGCTCTTCACTGAAAGCCTGTTAATTCACTGTCCTTAGCAGCATTCCACAATTAGTTAAGGCACAGCCCTTAATAGCCTCAGTACAACCTAAGGCCTTCACTTAAAGTTCTGCTTAGGATGGGAAAACACAAGTATAACAGATATACTAAGCCTCCTAAAGTGTTATATCATTAGGGAGTCAGTATTTTCTTGTGTCTCCATAACCAAGACAACTAAAACATCAAAATGACTTGGAAGACAAAAGCCCTACATTCATCTCCCCCTTCTCCTATTTCTTCTTCCATGAACCACACTCTATGGTACAGTTAATTGCCCAAATATCTTATTTCGGGGCACATTCAGCCTGAGCTTGTGGTTATCCTTCCTTATTGAAACACAGTTTTTAAGAGTAAGGGTAATTTGAAACAAGCTACAAAGGGAAACTTGTTCCGGAAATGCTCCCTTCAAGGCACCTGGGTGGTCAGAGTATTAGTTCGATGTCTTCTTGATTAACCATACGGGTCAGATGCTTGAATCTCCAATTAATTAGTTTCTCTAGTAGCTTGTGTGACATAAATGAGTGACTGTCATCCCGTTCACGTAGACAAAACCCATCATGAGAATTGGCACATTTTTGGCATTTGTCAGTAAAGCAGGGAAAAAGTAAATGATCCATGTGGACGAAATGGGAATCTAATGAGGGCCACTGGATGGAAAGTGTAAAGTGGTCTCCATCTACTGCAGAACAGAGTGCCTGAGTGTCCGCCAACATGATTTGCAAGAGAAAGCGAACCTAAAATGTCACAAAGCTCCTCAACTGCGATATAAATCTCTTCACACACATTTATTTAGGTGTTCATGATGTTCAAAGTCTATGAAAGTCAGATTACACTGGAATATTATTAAAGACTACTATTAATAGAAATAACAATATTTAGAAGTTTTAAGCAGTGACTCTAAGAAACAAAAATAATTTCCATCCATATTTATTTTATCCTAAAAGGATATATAAAAGTATTCTATTTTAAGATTATGTTTAGACTACTTTTCTCTCATCCAAAATACTTTTGAGTTTTTCTCATGAAAGTTTTTTTTTTTTTTTTTTTTTTTTTGAGCCAGAGTCTCGCTCTGTTGCCCAGGCTGGAGTGCAGTGGCGCGATCTCGGCTCACTGCAAGCTCTGCCTCCCGGGGTCACGCCATTCTCCTGCCTCAGCCTCCCGAGTAGCTGGGAGTACAGGCGCCCACCACCTCGCCCAGCTAGTTTTTTGTATTTTTTAGTAGAGACGGGGTTTCACCGTGTTAGCCAGGATGGTCTCGATCTCCTGACCTCATGATCCGCCCGTCTCGGCCTCCCAAAGTGCTGGGATTACAGGCTTGAGCCACCGCGCCCGGCCCTCATGAAAGTTCTAAAACTGCTAAATGTAGTCTTCAAAAAAAATAGAAAGGGTTAACTACTCAAATCATAAATTTTCATACAAATGTACTTACACATGACAGATGTTCACATAGAAAGTTGAGACCATTTTAAACATTTTTGATGCATTTGTTTTATATGGGGACTAGCTGTATAAAAGCAGAGGAGATGATGAAACTCCAGCCAGCTGAGAGGCAGGAAAACATTAATCCATGTGAATTTCTCAGTAAAGTGATATTTTCCTCCAACTTTTTGTTAATGTCTTCATCGGATGCATAAAGATAAGTCAAGCACGTGACTGCCACTAACTCCTTTTAAGAAGTTCAAGGGATTTAGAAAGTGAAAAAACTCAAAAACGCTTCTGAAAAGTTTTATCTTATCGTACCTTTTTAATATACCTTCTATACGATGGCACTGATTCTAAACCAGGTAAATAAACGGAGATGAAAATTTTTAAAGCAGATGAACAAATGAGCTAGATTTTGCTTCAAATACGAACACCTGAAAAATGACCACAATTTTCAGACAAGCTGATGTGAACTATATACGTATATTCAGCAAAATGTATACGTTCCATAGTGCATATTATAGCACACATAAACATAGTCTCTAAGATTCATGCCAGTTCTAAAGTCTAATTTCTAACTCCTATTCTTTTTTTCCCTAATGTCTCATTCTCGCCTATTAGACCATTCGTTCCCTTGCCTTTTTAAATATTGTAAACATACTATTTTTAAAACCCATTCATACAGTTCAATTACCTGTAGGTCACAGACTGTGATTTCCACCCTCGACGTTTGGGCTTACTGTTGCTCGCTGGTGGCAGCTGACTCGACTGCTTCAGAACTGGTGCTTATTAACCCATCTGGGTATGAACGACCTTCTCTAGGGTTGTGTATCTGGATTATCGGAATGTCTCTGTGGGGTGAGTGCTATCATGGGTGTCTGTTGTACACTCTATGGGATTCACTGTTTCTGACCAGCTTTTGTGTTAAACTATTTGGTCCTGAGAATTGCACAGTAGGAATAGTACTAGAAATCTCACTTGTAGGCAGAAAGCTGATCTTAGTCTCTGTTACTCCCAACTTATTTTATATAAGTATGTATCTTGCTGGAGTGTTAAAACTCCAGCACTAAAGCATATGGTCCATTATGTTATTATCCTGGGTTATTATATTACAATTATCTTTTGTCTAGGAAATCCCTCCTTGTTTTTAGCAACTGGAAATTTCTATTTCTTGTTTGAAAGCCTAATTATGTTTTTAATTTTATTTTCAGATACTTTCTCAACATTTCTAGGTGGTGGTCAGGGAATGGGAAACTTCCTGCACCAACTTAGCTTGTCATAACAGCCAGAAATGTAGCTCAAATCTGACTTGTCTGTTTTAAAGCAGCATCTGTTACATGCATTTAAAAGATACATACATCCCATTGTCAATATTTTCCCTGCAACTTAATAAGGTGTTTATATTATTTTAAACATATTTTGTATATGTAAATAATCTCATTTTCTCAGCCTCTTGAATTGCTTCTTTGTGTGTGTGTGGGGTGTGTGTGTGTGTGTGTGTGTGTGTGTGTGTGTGTTTAGTTTCAAAACCACCAGGTAAATTTGGCCTACATTACTAATTACTGCTGGCCTCCAAATAAATAAGTTCTTGACAATATCAATAGGGTTTACCTCCTTGGAAGAAACCAAGAAGTTTATAAAATCAAACTTTTTTATTTTATAAAAGATATAATGTAAATCCATCCCTCCATGGGAAAAAAAAAATGAAACAGAAGAGAAATGTAGTTAATCTATGTAAGTTCCTCTATGATTCTGATCCTTTCCTTTCCAATTTCCTTCACCTGAGGAAGGTCTATTTTCCTCAATTTTAGAATAGAGCAAAATACAACAAAATAAAACAAAACAAATGAGTTGTGTGCAGGAAAGAAAGAGATAATGGCACAGAATAGTTAATCTGGAAATGTCAACTGTGAGGTGCCTAATCGGGAATGTTCGTATCTCTACACAGAAGCCTGAATTAGAGACATACAACACAGTCTTCATCACTAGCTTTATTTTCCAGCACTCCCATTGTAAAGGAAGTCTACAAACTGAACACACTGTACTGGAGATTTGGCAACTCACCCTGTGCTTTGTCAAATTGTGTAAGCAACATTGTCGGAGACAAAGAAAGGGATTTGCCAGCCCAGTTATTTAGATCAATACATGTTGGTTTAAGAAAGATAACAGACAAATAAAAAACGTATTTTTGCAACTTAATAAGGTGTTTATATTATTTTAAAC